GAGTGGAACAGAGCAATCGACCAACCTAGCTTAGACCAGCTTTGGTAAGTCCCGCCTCAAGCACTTCATCATTGAACTCAATCGGGCCTACCATTGTGGAATATTTTCCTTTGGTTTGAGGCTTGTGCTAGGGATGAGAAGAGGTGAGTAGCTAGTGAATAATTTGGTCGATTGAGGATGGAAGGGGGCTCTCTGAATCTGTTGGGTATAAAAGAAGGCGATTAGATGATTATAGCACTTAATGATAGGTGGATTAGTGCCTGAAATTCTTCTAGCAATGATCCAATTATTCACCCGAGTTGTAACGTTTGGATGATGATTGATCATTAAGAGGGAGTTTGAATCGAAATTGACGTTTGCCTCTTGTCTGCCGAAGTCAAGGCAGTGGGATCTGAATTGATGGTCTATGAGAAGCTCGATTCCAAAAGGAGAGTGGCTTTTTAAGAGTGATACGCCAAAACACAACACCAAACTGCGACCAAGTGTAATCGCAGTCCGGGAATGCAGTAACAGGCAAGTTATATTATCAACCCGGGGTCTAGATCTACTGCTTACTCCGTGATTCTCTATTATCTAGCAAACTAATTCGAGTGATTGTTGTTTAAAAGCAAAAGCAGTAAGAAAGCAGTAAACTGTTCGGTTTTCAAAGTCAGGAAAGAGTCACTCGGGAATGAGTCCCCCTAGCCCCTTAGTTAGGTTCACTTGTAATTCCCTGGGTTGATTTACTGTTGATTAAACTGCGGAAGATCCGACAGTAGCTTGGAATCTCTTAAGCTGACCAAGCCCTCGCAGTCTAACTACCCGGCAGACGACTAGTCTTCACCGGGATAGAAAGCTGAGGCTATGAACACAGAACTCCACTACTGGAATTGAATTCCAGTACAAAGCAGTAAACTGGCTAACTCTCGTATAGCCAATCTCCTACTATCGAATGAAGAAGCTCTAACAACCTAATCAGATTCTATCTATCTCAGGTTGCAGCAGAAATTGAGAGAAGCTGATCAGACTCCAATCAATTCAATAAACATGCATCATTCAATTAAAATCAAACAGTAATATCATCCCAAGTCATTACAATCAAATCCCTAACACAAGGAACTAGGGTTCTTCATACCCAAGTGAGAGAAGGGTTCTACTCCATAGAGAGAGAAGAGAAAACAGTAATCGGATTAGTCATACTCATAACGATGAGGAAAATCTGCTCCGGGATGATGATTTCCACTCCTATGACGATCTCCAAGCTCGATTCGATGAAACCCAGCTCTAAGATAGCTTCTAGGATGTGTTCTTCGTACTTTCTCTCTCTAGGGCTTTGTTTCTGCTCTGAAAATACGATTCTCCCACTTTTGGCTCGGAATAGGCTCTAAAACCAGAATTTCCCGACTCGCACGGCCAGGCCACACGGCCGTGTGGTTCACCACTTTGCCCGTGCGAGTCGAAACGCGGCGTATGGATTAGTCGACCTTCAGCCATCTCACACGGCCAGGGTTGCACGGCCGTGTGAGAATTCCAGTCTGCCCGTGCTCGGCCTCGGCAGAAATCACACGGCTAGGGTTCTCAATGGCACGGCCGTGTGAAGGTTGTTTGTGCCCGTGTTTGCTCTCGCACAATCCCACACGGCCTGTCTTGGCCTTTGCACGGCCGTGTGATGCTACGGTCTGCCCGTGCAACTTCCTTGATACCTCGCCACGCGTCCGATCTTCGTCCAATCGACCCCAGACTCGCTCCCAAGCCTCCATTCACGTACTAGGACCTGAAATATCACAAACAAGCACAACCTAGCGTGAAATCGGCCTAAAATACGAGAATCAACACCTCAAACGGTGTAAGAACGGGGGTAAAAACATGTGTAAATAACGGTCTATCAAAGAGCAAATTTATTCTTTTTCCGACACATACTATTTCTCTGCTCACTAATTTGAAATTGAATTGTAGTAGCCTGCCTTTAATGTGCGCCTTGATAGTGTTTTGGTTTGGGTTTCCCCTTACATTTCACCTATCTTTATGGCTGATGCAGAGACCACAAATTGCTCTGTTTTTTGGAGCTTTAAATAGCTCTAACTCGTCATAAATTAGACTATTTGAAAGCCCAATTAGGTCTTTTCCGGCGAATACCGTTTTAAAGTTTATTGCTTTGTAACCGTTAAACGGAAAGGTTGCATTATTTCTGAGAATTAATGTCTTGATTGTGGTTTGCAGTTGGTGGCGGTCATCGGAGATGTTGGGTGGATTCCAGCGAACTGTTGGTGATGCGGTGGGATTGTTTGCCTTGTTACACCAGGATCGACGTCCGAATATAGGGTCCTCTTTCCACGGTGGGGGATTACCTTCTGGATTCATTTTCCATAGCCTGGGGATGATGGTATTGATTGTTACGCTGAAGGTGGGCCAAGTAGGGACAGGGGGAATCTGGACAAATGATATCGAAGAGATGAAGGAGGTTGAGCGTGAGATATGGTTGGTGCCGATTAAAACATAGGGCGGTATTTAAATGAATAATAGCTAGAAGCAAGGGAAGAGGTGACCGGTGGTTTCCGCTGGATTTGATTGTTGGTTCCCGCTGGAATGGAACATTGGTTCCCGCCACCTGACTTCTTTTCACATGACTTCCCTATCACCACTGCTGCTTCCTCGACAGCCTGATGTGGTGTTAGCATTTGCCCAGTGAGCTGCATCGACAACCTTTGTCTTCTTCTCTTCTTTAGTGGAAGCGGTAACAAGTAATAGGGTGGAGGAGAAGGAGCTTCAATGGTGGCACAATGACCATTTTCTGGTTTATGTCTGCTATCATTGAATTGGCAATCGACATTCCTGTTCTTTGCATCCTCAAACACCCATATGAATTGCCTGACAGCATCGGCAGTTCCTTGGAACCATTTCAATCCTGCGGGCTTCTTCATTCGCTCCTTCCTTTCCTTCCCCAAAAGGCCAAATCCCTAAACAAATCACAGATGTCGCTGCATCACTGGAGACAGCCAGCAACGCGACATCATCGGTGCTGGTATTGCCATGGGGCAAATGAAAAAGCTAGAAGTCGTGGCACTGCTGAATAAACGGAGCTGCAAGGAGCGGATAGCAGCTAGTTCAGCCCTTCAATTAATGAAAAATATAGCACACAACCTTTAGTCATTCATCACTATTTCCCAACTTATTTATGCCTTTTTTTGTTTCCTTGTGCCCTTAGGTCATCTAATAATCGTGATTTTGTTCTTTTTTTCTAATCGCCACTGCTTTTAATTTGTTTATTTTATTTATCTTCATGATTTAATGAGTTGTATTTATTTTGTTTCGATTCAAAATGATTAGATTAATCATTATTTTTTGATAATAATATTCACTTTAATTTATTTTCGAACAAAAAAATTGGACCACATTATAGTAAAATTTAATTGTGGTATGAATATAACTTAGTGTAGAATGGTCCTATACATTATAGTAGAAATATATTAACCACCGTCTACCACCATTTATCACTATGGTATAGGGTGGTATTAGGGATGACAATTTTGCCCATAGCCATGAGTATTTTACTATCCAACTCAATTAGGTTGGGTATGAGATCTAAATATATGATAAATGAGTAGAGTTTAATGGGTTTATACTCATACGCTTTTATTTGGGTTGGGTCGGGTTGGATTTTTAATCAATAGATTTGGGTATGAAATCATACCCATTTGCAAATTAAAGTGTGGTACTACAACTTAATAAATCTTTAGATTTAGAACCTTTTTTTTTTTTTTGCATAAAAGCCTTCAAAATATCGATGAAAATTGACACTTTAGTACCTAAATTGTTTTTTGTATTACATTTTCAGACCCTAACTTCTATGTTTTACAAATAGGCCCAATTTTTGTATGTGTAGTTAAAAACAAGCTCAAGTAAATCAGTATCCATACCCAACTCGTGCCCATTTAGAATACGGAAGCAATATTCATACCCAACTCAAACTCACCCTAATCCATATATACTTCAGTCATCCCTACCCATAATCAATGGGTTTACTTGTGTTTTGGTAAAATTACCCATGGGTGGGCAATTACCATTCTTAGTGGTATATATGGTCGCAAGAAAATTTTCCTCGGAATATATAAATTTTATAATTCACGATGAACTCTTCATTCTAGGCAAAAAAAAAACTGAGTAAACGATGAAGATATAAGTCGATTAAAAAATTAGTGATAATAAAAAAAATTGATTTCATCATTTAGATATTACCACACTCAAATTCAGTTTTCAAGAAGGCATGATTATGCATATGCATAGGAGCTCCTAGATGCTAGCCAGCGACAAAACGCCTCTCCTCGGCGCTAGGCTGACAATATAATACCTAGGTGGTGCATAGGCGGAGCTAGACACGATTAATCCTCTCGAGACTTGATAATTGAAGTAAGACATGATTAAGATGCAAGAAATTCAATAAAGGAATTGAAGGTGGGCCACGTCCATCAAGTGCGAGGCATTCCAGAACAAAACCAAAAAAATTTAGACAAAAGCAAAGTCGTTGACGACAAAAAAAAAATACAAAAAATATATAACGATCTAGGTTCCACTTAAAAATTATTGGACCCCTGGGAAATACTTGTTTAATGTACATTATTAATAATAATTTTCAATAAAGATTGATATAAAAACTCCGACAAAGAAATGATCCAATTAATCAAGATGTACAATATATAAAAAAAGATTTGACATAAAACATATTCTACATTTCCACTATTGAGGCATTAGAAATATAAAAAAGAATACCTTCCATCACATCATCTTTATGCACATACACCCTCTCCTCTACCTCTCTTTTTTTCAACCAATAATGACTTCCTAACTCCACTCCAGTATTTTCTGACATATAAATGTCTCCTTCTTTTCTTTCACCACACTTTTCTTCTCGTTTCTCTCAAATTTAATAACTACCTTCCTCTTTTCTTTACAATAATCCTCAAAAATTTATTTCTTTCTCATTCTTTTGTTAACATACATTCATACGCAGAAATGCAACCATCCTAGATAAATCTTATCATTTCTTTTATTTTTCTCACTATGAGGAACATACATTCATGATCCTAATTGGTAGGAAGAGGTAGGGAAGAGAAAAATAAAAGTTTTGATTATAAGTAGTTGATGGCGTCTTCATCTTCTCAACCATCAAATAAGGAGATGCGTAGCTCCGGTGGGCCAAACACCAACCAACAAGGTGGGAATCGAAATGCGGCCGGCAATGGGCAGACAGTGAAATTCGCTCGCCGAACTTCCAGTGGGCGGTACGTTAGCTTATCGAGAGAAGATCTTGATATGTCCGGCGAGATATCAGGTGACTACATGAACTACACCGTTCACATTCCTCCCACCCCTGACAACCAGCCCATGGACACTTCGTCGGTGGCGGTGAAAGCGGAAGAGCAATACGTGTCCAATTCCTTATTCACAGGTGGATTCAACAGTGTTACCCGCGCGCATCTCATGGACAAAGTCATCGAGTTTGAGGTTACCCATCCACAGATGGCTGGTGCTAGGGGCTCGTCTTGTGCCATGCCAGCCTGTGATGGCAAAGTCATCAAGGATGAGCGTGGCAATGATGTCATCCCTTGCGAGTGCAGGTTCGGATGTAGTTATTAGAAAACTATATAAGATCCAATATTCAATTCATTTCCAGATATAATCAAGACATTTTGTTTGGTTATTTCTTGGATGATTAGGCTCAAGATCTGCAGAGACTGCTACTTAGATGCCCAAAAGGATGGTGGGTTATGTCCAGACATGGGGACTACGACGACGATGTACCAGATTTTTCCAATGGGGCATTGCCATTACCTCCACCAAGCAAAGGAGATTCCAGCAACCAAAATGGAGAATTCGATCACAACCGTTGGTTGTTCGAGAACAAAGGCGCCTATGGTTATGGTAATGCCTATTGGCCACCCCCGGATGATGTGTATGACGATGATGATGGTGGTGAGGATGGAACATCCATGTTGGAAAGGAACGACAAACCCTGGCAGCCTCTTAGTCGAAAGATGTTAGTCGACTCCTCAATCCTCAGCCCTTATCGCCTTCTCATTGTGGTTCTGGGGTTCTTCCTGCAATGGAGGATCACTCATCCTAACAGAGATGCCGTGTGGCTATGGGCTATGTCCATTACATGTGAGCTCTGGTTTGCATTCTCCTGGATTCTTGACCAAATCCCGAAAATTAGCCCTGTTTATCAATTGACTGACCTCGAGGTGTTGAAGGAAAATTTTGAAATGCCATCCCCAACAAACCCCACAGGCCGCTCTGACCTCCCAGGTGTTGACATGTTTGTCTCCACCGCAGATCCTGAGAAGGAACCGCCATTAATCACTGCCAACACTATTCTCTCCATCTTGGCAGCGGACTACCCCGTGGAGAAGCTTGCATGCTACATATCCGACGACGGAGGTGCACTGTTAACATTTGAGGCGATGGCAGAGGCGGCAAGCTTTGCAGAGCTATGGGTCCCCTTTTGCAGGAAGCACAACATCGAGCCAAGAAATCCTGACAGTTACTTTAGCTTGAAAGTGGACCCCACCAAGAACAAGAGCAGATTGGATTTTGTTAAAGACAGGAGAAGGATGAAGAGAGAGTATGATGAGTTCAAAGTGAGGATCAACAGCCTGCCTGATTCGATAAGAAGGAGGTCGGACGCTTTCAATGCCAGGGAAGAGATGAAGATGTTGAAGCAGAAAAGGGAGAGTGGGGGTATTAAAATTCAAAAGGCCACATGGATGGCTGATGGTACTCACGTGGGCAGCATCGGCTCCTGACCATGCCAAGGGAGACCACTCTGGGATTCTACAAGTGATGCTCAAGCCTCCCAGCACCGACCCTTTAATGGGCGGGTTTGACGACGACAAGATGATTCTTGATTTCACTAATTTCGACATCCGGCTTCCGATGTTTGTCTATGTGTCTGCGTGAGAAGAGACCAGGGTATGACCACAACAAAAAAGCGGGTGCAATGAACTGTTTGGTAAGGGCATCTGCTATTCTCTCCAACGGCCCATTCATTCTCAACCTTGATTGTGACCACTACGTTTACAACTGCAAGGCTATAAGGGAAGGGATGTGTTTTATGATGGATAGAGGTGGGGAGAGCATTTGCTACATTCAGTTTCCTCAGAGGTTTGAAGGAATCGATCCCTCGGAGGGATCGGTATGCCAACAAGAAGACAGTCTTCTTTGATGGGAATATGCGTGCCCTTCCCTAGATGGTCCCGTGTATGTGGGCACGGGTTGCATGTTTAGTTTAGGCGCTTTGCCTTGTACGGATTTGATCCACCGAATCCAGATAAGACTCAACCAAAGGATGATTCTTCCTCGGCTGAGACGCATCCCTTGACTACTACCGACTTTGACCCAGACCTCGACCTCAACCTCTTGCCCAAAAGAAAAGGTTTGGCAACTCTACAATGTTGGCTGAATCGATACCTGTTGCGGAGTACCAAGCTCGACCTTTAGCTGACCATCCTGCTGTTAAATATGGACGCCCTCCTGGTGCTCTTAGGGTTCCAAGGGAACCGCTGGACGCGACCACTGTTGCTGAAGCAGTATCTGTAATCTCTTGTTGGTATGTATTGTATTGTATTGTAAATGGAAAAAGTAAGGCGCCCATTGAATTGAATTGGTGACTAATGAGCAGTGACCTTAGGTACGAGGACAAAACCGAATGGGGAGGGCGAGTGGGTTGGATCTACGGCTCCGTCACCGAAGACGTGGTGACAGGGTACCGCATGCACAACCGCGGCTGGCACTCCGTCTACTGCGTCACAAAGCGAGACACCTTCCGCGGAGGAGCTCCCATCAATCTGACCGATCGGCTCCACCAGGTGCTGAGATGGGCCACGGGCTCCGTCGAGATCTTCTTCTCGAGAAACAACGCCTTCCTCGCTTCCAGGAAGCTCATGTTGCTACAACGCCTCTTCTATCTCAACGTCGGCATATACCCCTTCACCTCCATCTTTCTCATCGTCTACTGCTTCCTCCCGGCACTGTCGCTCTTCTCGGGCTCCTTCATCGTGGAGAGCCTCAACATTGCCTTCTTGGTCTACCTTCTCATCATCACCTTCTGCCTCATTGGGCTTGCCCTCTTGGAAGTCAAGTGGTCCGGGGTCGGGCTGGAGGAATGGTGGAGGAACGAGCAGTTTTGGCTCATCTCTGGCACCAGCGCGCACTTGGCCGCCGTGGTGCAGGGCCTGCTCAAGGTGGTTGCTGGCATTGAAATCTCCTTTACTCTGACTTCTAAAGGAGCCGGGGATGACAACGACGACATCTACGCGGAGCTATACCTGGTGAAGTGGACTTCTCTCATGATTCCACCCATTGTAATTGCCATGACGAATATCATAGCCATGGCCTGGGCACTCATCAGGACTGTATACAGCGCGGTGCCGCAGTGGAGCAAATTGGTGGGTGGCGGGTTTTTCAGCTTCTGGGTTTTGGCTCACTTGTACCCCTTCGCCAAAGGCTTGATGGGGAGGAGAAGGAAGACTCCGACGATCGTGTATGTGTGGTCAGGCTTGATAGCAATCACGCTCTCTCTTCTTTGGATTGCTATTAGCCCGCCCACCGTCGTCAACACTCCCACCCAGCCAAGTGGCACGGGCGGCAGTTTCTAGTTCCCCTGATAATTACCCAAGCAGGGGCTTCACATGCTTTTGTAGTAGCTTTGTACACATTCAATACTAGACACAGACAGGCAGGCATGCTCTAATTCAAGCGCTGGAACCATAGCCAAAGCAGAGTAGAACTAGCACTCCACTTAACAGATTTCAATACAATGTGTGTTTATGTCAAACAATTGCCAGATCAATTTGTAAGGAACGTTGCGCAGATATACGGCATTGCAGAGACTGTTGGAATGAATGCGTTGTGTGTTTGTTGGGGCTAAAACAAATCCAGAGAGGGACCCCAAAACTGATATGGCAGCAGAACCCCAAAACTTGATGTAATGCAATATGGCCGAACTACGAAACTAAGCAACTTTCAAGGGCACAATAGCACAGCCCTTTCCAGTTCCCAAATGTGCTTGCTGGCCTGGGTAACGATTCACTCCAACTGTCAGGATACATGTCGACTCATTTCAATTATTTTTAAATTACAAGTACCCAAGTACCACAGTAAAGAGTTACTGCTACAATACAGCGTGAAGAAATACGTGGTTAGTTTTTCCAAGTTGACTACGGATAATAAAAATGACCAGGCACTACCAAATCATTATCTGTAGGGGAGATGCTTACATTGTTTCCTCGGTCATTCCTAATCAAATTTAAAGGGCCTTCTAGTCTCCAGTTGGAGCATATGCTGCACAGCTTAACCATCGGACTGCTCAAACGGTACCCGTACAAATAACTGGCCGTGCAACGTCACTACAGCGGATGTCTGGTGAGGATCAATTCTTGAAGGCAGGCTAACCACCTGCAAGTCAACAACTGCTGTTAGCCTCCGTTTCCCGCATTACACTTCTCGTCCATCCTACAACCAGTAATCAACTATGGCCAAAATGAGGCCTAACCGCCACACAATTTAAACCTCTACAGCTTTTTCAAGTTTCTCCAAGGAAAGGGTAAACCAAGGAAGACAGCAGACTGGCATGTCTCACAAGATGTAAAAGGAATAGAACAAGAGGTCAATGGCAACAAACTAAAGCTTTTAGACCTATCAGCCGGAGTCATCCAAAACTGACCTTTTTAAATGGGGTGACACCCCAGGGATTTTCAAGTTGTTCTGGTTGACCAGATATAACCAAGCGTCCAGCTGCATCAGACTGAACATGAACCTGCACATGAAATTGTTCCAAAAACTGTCAGCGTGACCATGCAGCTAGGCTAACCACAAACTAATGCCAGAGAATATCACGATTGTCCATTTCACACAGGCTACGATTGCCACCTCACTTAATAACTGGCAAAACAGAAAAACTGCTTCAGGAAGCACCCCACGTTTGGGTCGATTCTAGGGGTCTGCAATTTTATGGAAGGAAAGAATAGGGAAGTTACAGAATATATACGTGCATCAACTAAGTAGATGAATGAGATTGGTTCAACACAGCAGAACAGGGAAATGTTTCACTTTTCTAAAATGCGGGGGGAGAGGAAGAAACATGGACATCATCCATTCATACCCCAAATCTACCAACGACTTACAAGCACAAAATTTGTACTGTTGAACACTTTGGGGTCGTACTTCAGAAATTGTATCTGAAGGCCCGTCTAGCCAATTGTATCTAACACTCATACCAAGGACAGATGAGCATGTAGTGTCAGCTGAATTTGCTTGCCATGGAGCAAGAACCAAATACAAGACCAACAATAGTTATCTAAACTAAATGATTCACAGTTAAAGGTTAAACCAATTAAAACCAGTTGCCATGGAGACCTATATTTTCTTTTCATGAGAAAGATAATGACATGGAAGATCTCTATGATATGTGATTTTACCTCCTCGCGTAAAAGTCCAGGAACTAAAGCATATACCTCATAGCAATCGTTCTGTGAGAGAGCAAGCAGTATCAGCAAATACTCAAGACGATAACCATTTGAAGTTGCAAATCAAGCATTAAGTTCATGGAAGTGGAAATATAAATCTTACAGTTCTTTGTACATTGACCTTCACCCACTCAGCAGGGGGGCCCACATCGATTACCACTGTATCCGCTCTGATGAAGAAAGGAATAAGGATTCTCTTTCATAATCCACTCCCTTTATGAAAACTAAGGAATATTTAAAACAAAAACCTAACTGTGTCCTCATTGTCTTCAAGGGAGATGCACTGATGGCACGTTCAGCACTTGACAGCTTCTTCCTCTTAAGTAAACCTGATAGACAGTAAGCCAAATTCAGACCAAAGACACATGTTTATTATGGGGCCAAGATGCTGATAAAGTATAGCAGTTGTACCATTTGTCTTCAATGGCTTGTCAGCCTTGGGAATAGAATTCAAAGTCTTATCCTAAGTCCAAAACAGCAAGAAGGCAGAAATTAATCTTTAAGAAAATGTAATTGCAGCACTAGGAATAGAAACTGAAGCTTTTTCCACACACCTTAATGACTGGTTGAGAAACCTCGCCATTACCAAGCAGGCGTTGAGAATGCCAACCCTGCATTGCACGAGCAGCAGCATCTCTTCGAGGTGCTCGACCCGGTACAAGGCCCCCTAAACTTCCACTGGACTGCACTCAACATTTATACGAAAATTTCGTGAAATGATATCCTGGATTTGAGGCCCTAGAATTTTATGCTTGAAAAGTGAGGCAAATACACAGATGCACATTGAAGAGAAAGCACGTAACCATAGGCTAAACTCATAAAGCACATCAAATAGGGTAAGTGGAAACAAAAATCCCACAAAACTGGAGGAAATAATCTATAGAACTACTTGGGACATCCAAATATTCCTCCAGGAATTCGTCAACGAAGAGCTTCAGGGAAAAAACATCTCAAAAGTACAAATAATAGAAGCTCTGATAAGTTTAGCATCTGAGTAATAATTTTATGCTCCGAGAATACAAAGCAGATTATTAGCTGAAGCCAAATGGGGGAATGATAATGAAGGCAGCTATAGACAGGTGAATTACTGCACGTGGAAGGATCTTCTAAATAATACTAGGTTTACCTTCCTACCATCCTTTATTGCCAACTTAACATTAAGTAGCATGGGGAATGTTGCTCAGTCAAAATTGCTCCAGTAGGATTTATCTTTCAGAAACCCTTTTTATGGATGACAAACAAATGGGTAATAGAGAAACCTTAACCACAAACCTGTTTACCTGTAAACTATCTATGCAACAACAGATCCAGAATACCATTGACCTCAGAAACACCTATTAATCCCACAGTAAACAGACACTGTCGGAGCAATGCCCATCAGCTAATGCGGTAAAGGACATCTTAATATGATACGTCCCAGATTTAACATACAGAGCGAACTTTGAAGCACCAATATTCTTTTAGGGCCTAGTTCATAAAGAAGATGAATGCAGTAAATATCTCCCAGCAAAGCCACTCTAGCTTACCTGGTTTTCGGGCCTTGTTGCCTCAATTGATATACCATCAGAGAAAGGAAGTTCACCATTACGCATTTTATGCTTCTCATATTCAAGCAGTGCCTGAATGAAGAAAAGAAAGCGGATTCAAGAACTATTTTAGATAGAAAGCCACTGCAAATAGACATCTAGATAAGACAGATGTTAACCTTCTCATAAAAAATTCTGAATGTCCACGAGACTGTTGTGCACGTTCTAGTAATGTAGAGAATGAAAACAATTAATTTCAATTAACAAATTGAACAACAATAAATCCAAGAAAAATGGAACCAGATTTGTTTTATAGTAGAAAATGACACGTTCCCCAGTAGTCAGTCATATAAAGTATATACATAACCACTAATAGAACTAAAACATGGTCAAAGTTTTAAAGTCCATATGTACACATCAAACACATATCTACTCATGCATAAACAAATGCCTCAGTGAGAAAGTTTACTTCCCAAAAAACCTTCTGTTTCCAGTTGCTAATCAAGCCAAAATCCAGAAATCAACTTAAATCTAAGTATTATTACTTTGGAGGTCTAAATGATTCGCCTACTTGCCGCCATAACTTGCATGATGTCACCTGCAGAAATAAGAAAGCAAAGAAAGCCTATAGTACCCATACCAATTCACGGAGTATGAGAAACGTAACCAGTTTCATGGAGCAAACAAGATTGAACCTGTTCATAGCCTCCCAGTTTGACAACAGCTCTCCACAACCTTAATCAAATGAAATAGCGGGATGATCAAGAATCTTTGTTAATGGATGAAGACAGAGAGAAACAAGCAAGAGTTGTGTGTGAGTTGCAACAACTTACTTAAGCAGATTTAGTTCTTCTTTATAAAACTTTGGGGCCTTGAACTCCAAGTGATTATCTCTATAAAACATTTCAACTTCCTTCATGAACTCCAATTGTTCCTCCTCCGTTCCCGACTCGTATCCCTCATCTGAAGAACGTTCCAAAAGGAAAGTTCTACCAAGGTTTCTCAGAGCACCTCCAGGCTCTTCTTCATCCAACTTGGATTTTGCAGGTTCCTTCTTAATTATAGAGTGCACGGGGAAATCGACCTTGGCCAGTTCCTCTGTCAACAGGGAGACTCTATCTCCTACGTGATCATCTTTGTTCTCAGCAGACTGATGATCAGCCACAGTAGAAACAGTGTCTTCCTCATGTTTGGTTGTGGAAAATGGCTTCTGATCATTTGCAACAATAATGCCATCATCAGCACCATTACTATCAGGACACCTGGATTTGAAATTTGCATCTTCATTGTCTGCTTTCCGCTTTAAGGTAGAGACTTCACCGGTATCGTCTAATGATCCATTGGCAGGGGGCTCCGTACAAGCAGCAAAGTGAATAGGGTACTCTTTATCACCAGAGGTGGGCTCAGGAGCAGCAGCTGCTGCACTAGGCATTATGTCAGCCTTAGGAGAGCAATGTGGATTGTTGGCATCATTCGGATCATCAGCAACAGGAGCAAGTTCAATAATGCCAGGGGCAGGCTGAGGGTTGTCAGCTGTACAATTGAAGGTCTCAACACCCATAACAGCACCAGCAGCATCCAATCCAGACAACTCTGCCCCTTTATTTTCATTAGGAAGTTGGGAATCGGATTGCTGATCATCTAGTGCAGCATTTTCTAGATTGGGATTGAGGACTCCATCGGCAACTGGTGCCGCATTATCAGCAGTATCATTCTCAGCTTCTTTTGGATCACCCATGTCACTAGGAAGAAACTATACTTGGACAGAGCTGCAGAACCAGCTAAGGCAAATCAACCCCAGTTAGTCCAAGACAAATAACCAATAAATATTGAAAAGAAAGATGAAGGGAGAGAGCAAGAGAGAGATACTTACAGTGCTGAGTGGAGGAGTGATGAGACCAAGAGAACGAAAAGCAACCAAACCCTAGAGAGAGAAAGAGAGAAAGAAGAAGTTAGCTCAGTAGTAATGGAAAAATAATGAAGACTGAGAAAAGGACTCAATTGCAACAAAGAAGAAACAATGACGTCAAGTCCGGAGTCCAGAAGCCGTCGCAAAGCTAGCCCAAACGTCCCAACTGTCAGCAGTTGGAGCCAACGAGAGAGAGACGAAAACGCGGACACACAGAAAGAAAGAAAGAAAGAAAGGGAAAACCAAACTAGAGAATAGAGGAAAGGCGTACGTTTCTCTTTCGCGGTGTCGGAAGGGAAATTTTACATGAGCGCATCGACGTCGCTTGGAGATGGTGGAGGAAGAAGAGGCGGAGACGCGGAGTTGCGGCGACGGTGACGGTGACGGTGACGGTGCCGGTGATCAGCTCCGTACAACCTTTTTTGCTTAATACCCAAAAATGATGAAAGTAGCCATTTAAATTTTAACAGAAAGAATGTATATGTGGGATTTTTTCTATTGTTGTTATTTTTTTCTAAATTACACATTAATTCACTCAAATTATGCAAATTTTTCACCTTTGTCATCCAAATTAATTTTCTTTCTCATTCGCCACTTATTTTACGAATCGTTTCACCGTTAGTCACCGGCCGTTACACTCCGTTAAATTTATCATATGTAGCAGTCAATTATGAAGTTTGACCGTTAAGTAGGTGACGTGGAAATTAAAAAAAAAATTCCACCTCATCATTGAATAATTCTATGTGATTAATCATATTAATTATTTAATAAAAATTAATAAATTACAAAAAGTAGTTATCAGTGTGGAGAAGCGAGTTGATGATGTTGGTTCTCGAATCCAATTCTCCTTTGGCGAAGAGGCCGTTCCTCTAACTGAAACCAAATTTGGATGTCGAAGCTTCGCGATCGCCTTCACTTACCCTTCAAATTCCTTCATTCCCTTCCCAACCGCTCCACCGCTAATCTCCCCGATCCTTCTCACAGCGAAAGCCATCCCGTCTACGAACACCGTCTTCTACAGGATGCTCTCTCCGCCGCTCGAACCCAGAACGTATACAGATGCCTGAAGCAGCGTCTCCATCTCCGTCTCCCCGTCCACCATCACCAGCTTACCCCCCCCCCCTCCCATCCCCCTCTATTGCCCGCGCTGCCGCTATTGCTCGCGGGCCTCGGCTTCTAGTCTTCGTGTACTACTCCGATCTTCCCGGTCGTTGTCCGAAGAGAAATTAAAAAAGCGATGGAGACCTAGTTTCCATCAGATTCCAAATTATTCAACATGGCTATAGTTACTTGACATAGTACAAGAACATTTCATTATATAAGTGGGTGGAAATCTGAAAAAAGGCCTTTTCTTCTGGCTCTCTCTTTATCCAATCAAGGTTGAGATCCATCAGAATGTTCGTTCTCTGCAGCAAGCATAAGCATCTCCAATGGCTTCTCGAACAGCAGAGCGCTTTCATCTCGCTTGTCAAGCTCCACAGCCTCAACCTTCAAGCCATTTCTCTCGCAGATAGTCCAGAAGGTTTGCTTGGTATGTGTTCATATCAGCTACAGGAGTGCTAAAAGCAGTTATCCGTAGAGACGAGTCTCCAGATGGTGGTGGCAGGGTTAAGAGCATTGCTCAGAAGTCAGAAGTGTCGCGTATCAGCAAACGTCTCAAAATCGCTGGCGATTATATCCTACCAATACTTGCGAATTAATTACCCAACGGTGAAATTGGAAACTTCATTTTATAAATTTAATTAATTTTAATAAATAATTAATATGATAAACCATATAGACAAAGTAGGTGGAAAAATATTTTTTTTAATTTCCACGTCATCTAGTTAATGGTCAAACTTTATAGTTGACTGCCACATAGGACAAATTTAAAGAAGATTAACGGTCGGTGACTAACGGTGAAACGATTCATAAAGTTAGTGGCAAATAAGAAAAAAAAGTAATTTGGGTGGCAAACGTGAAAGATTTGTATAATTTGTGTGACCAAACGTGTAATTTAGCCGTTATTTTTTGTTTTTTTGGGAAGATAGACGCTAAACCGAGGTTGGGAGATTCCCATTACATAATATAATCTAACCATCTACAAAGATTATAACTATACACATCAACATGATGTGTTCCAAACGGTAGGCTATGGCCTAAACTAGCTCCATTTTACACATGTGAGGCAAAGACGTCCCAGTCACGATCCAAAAGGTGGTTGACATGTTGAGCAAGCAATCCATGTTTGTGGTCATCGTCAAAACGGTTCCTAATGATAGCAATCATAGTAGTAGAATCCAACTTAAGTTGTACTTTGCAGTGTCCTTTCTCCCAGGCCAATTGTAGTCCCACAATTGCTTCTTTGAGCTCTCCAGCAGTGATCAAGCAGTTACCCAAGTTGCAAGCAAAAGCTGCACAACATCTACCCATACTGTCACGATGAGACCTCTAGATGCGAATCCCAAGGGAGAGAGGACATAATCATCAGTTTGGATCTGTACTCATCCCTCAAGTGGAGGGCGCTAGCCAATTTGTTCCTCTTTCTCGACAAGGGGGGTTGAAAATCCTCTCCACATTCTGCAAGGCCATTTTGTAGATCTTAAATCAAGCTTCGATTTTACAGATGAGGGATTTTTCCACATAAACCTTGCAATCCATGCACTCTTCATTTCTCTGCTTCCAAAGATGCCACACAATCAAGACAAAATCAACTTCATGAACTTCATCATTCAAGTTACTTGACACCCACTCCTTAAAAGGCAAATCCTTTTTCTTGTTGGTGACTTTAGATATGATCTTTTCCCAATAGTTGTTGTCTTACTGCAGTGTTTGAGAACGTGCTCTGTGGTCTCTTCAACGTCTTTGCAGTGGCTGCAATTGCCATCAGTAGCAATCTTCCTCTTAACACGTGTCTTATTAGTGAGCAATCCGTCGTACATCACAAGTCCAAGGAAGTGTTTGGTTTGGCTAGGCCCTTTCCATTTCAAAAAATTCTTCCAGATTGTCTCTCATGTTGTATCCATTTGATTCGCTACAAGGTTGTAGGCTGACTTCAACCTGAATCTTTTATCCCTTTCCAATCCCAGATGCATTTATCCTCTCCCAGATTGCTTTTTTAGGTTTCATGCCAGCAATCAGAGAAATGATATTGGGAAGAAGGAAGTCATGGAGCTTATGTCAATTCCACTCTTCATTTCATCAGTCTAGTTCGCCACAGATGACTCTTCCTGACACATATCAGCATCCTGCAAAATGTGGTCTTTGAGGGTGATGTCATGATCTAGCCATGGGTGGTTCCAGAGGCTGGTTCTTCTTCCATTTCTGATGCTTTAGCATATAGCACTTTTAATGAGGGGTATTGCTTTCACGATAGCTTTCCACAAGGAGGAGTGGTTGCTTCTATTCATTGCCACAATTTGCCCATCTTTATGTTTGAAATACTTTCCTTGCATAACCTACACCCAGAGGTCATAGCTATTATTAAAGATTTGCCAAACAAGCTGGATCATGAAAGCCATGTTTAAGCTTCTAGCAATTTTTAGTCCTAGCCCCCTTGATTTTTAGGTCTGCATACTTTTTCCCAGGAAACTAGATGAACTTTCTTTTTATCCTGATTAGACAGGATTTGATTCTGCAAGCGGTTCGGTACGAACAAAGAAATTTCGAACAAAAGAGAGTTGCTTCCTATGATACATACATAGTCAATCTTCATTGTAAAAGAAAATTATTGTCCTTTGATGGAAAATATGATGGTTAACACCTTCGAAAAGCTTCAATTAATGAAATCTGGAATATTGGTACAAAGAAAAATTTGTCAATGCTAACTCTCGTCACATAAATAAATGAACTCAAATTTCACCTAATATAGCCTCTAAATCCATTCCTAGCTCCCCGCTTATATTTATATGTAAAACTCTATCTCATTTCACTATTCAACTGCCACATATACTGAAGTTATCCTTTAAGTTTATTTGTATGAACTCGTGTGACAACTAAGAACAACACAACTACCAGACCTGGCAAATTACAACCCGACCCGTTGTCCCGACCCGAAATCGCCCGAAAAATAGAAATTTTTGTAACCCAAAATCCGAATGACCCGAACTCGATAACCCGTGATTTTTTGGGGCGGGTTGGGTGGGTTAGGGGGTCAACCCGTTAGACCCGTTCCATTTTATATATCACTCCCAAAATTATAAAATCACTCATAAATTGGCGAGATGTTTAAATAAATCACATGGATTTGAATGACATGTTTGGAGTTTAAGGATAATCAAATATCATGTGTTTCTTGTAGTAGTATTACTCTTGTGATTGTTTTTTGACGATTTGCGTAATTTGTATTTCATTTCATTAGCGTGAGAGGATTTGAGAATATGTTAATTGACATGTGTTAGGTAAACTATTGTCATGCATATGTGAAAATTTGTGTTATTTAAGAAAATATGAAGCATGTTTGATATTGTTTCTGAGAACGCTCATAACCCGAAATAACATGTAACCCGACCCGAAATCGAATGGGTTGGGTCAATATTTGACCCAAAATCAGCATATCAAACATGACCCGACCCGTAACCGAAGTTCCCAACCCGAAATTACCCAACCCGACCCGATTTCCAGGTCTAACAACTACTACCATGTTTACTTGGTATCACAACTAACTAAATGTGTTCAACCAATTCCATGTCCCAAATTAGCAAGCACTTTAACCAATCTATCAATGCCCAGTTTTTTATAGAACGTTCATTAGCGGTCTCTCACAAACAACAATAATTTAAATTTCGACAAATATATAAGCTCATAAAAAACCCAAACCAATTACCATAAACGGATTCATCAAATCTAGCCTCAAATAAGGTTCACAAATTTAAGGAATAAAACACCAGACATATAAAATATTGTACTTGATTTAAATGAAATACTCACACTAATAATAGCTCATCTATTTATCTTACTGGTACTTTCAGAGTCAAATTTTTATCATGTCGTTGCATTAACGGGAGCACTACTAATTCAATGATTCCACCAAGCGATGAGTTGATTAATCTGTCAAGCATTACTGCATTTCTTGCTTATGGGAACATATTTTAGGGTATAATTTGATATGATCCTAATTCGAGAATCCTCCCAAATTCATACCAAAACACCATAGTTGCACAACGTCGAACTTTTTATGGTTTTCTTCTTCTTCAATAACACAAAAATAAAGAATAGTCGCGGAAATCGATCAAACAGACCTGAACTCGTGAGAAGGGCCAATTGGTATATGAAACCAATCAAACAATCTCGAACACGTGGATAAGGCCAACCGATATAGTCGATGCTCGCCACAACTAGACGTGTTCTCTAGTTGCTAAGAGACCACTCAATTCTCCAGAATTCTCAAAGGAGAGATTAAGCAAACATTCACAAAGGAACTAGAGTAAACACTCGATGTATTTGATAACTGAAATCTTGGGTACAAAATTC